TTTTAATCGCTTAGATTTTTTTTTTTTTTAAAAGACAAAAGGAAGGCACCATGTGAAAACATCACTATGGAAACATCACGGGCTCACTTGTACTTGCCTGCCAAGTGACTACCTAACTGAAGTTTTACATCCTATTGGATCACTGTTGGCCATCTGCTCTCCTTCAAACTTCTCTGAATTCCTTATTTCCCTGAAAAGTTCATTTTTAGAAAGGAGGGAGGAGGAGGCATGGGGAGAATCCAGCATTCTTGGCTAGCGCAGAGCTATTGTGAAAAAGGAAGATAGATAAACTCACTTTGGGGCAGCCCCTAAAAAGACAAAGATCCATGTTTTGCACAGTAATTTCATAGAAAATACCCCGTTTCTAGATGCACTTTAATGATAAGAGTATATATTGGCAGCCACAAGGCAAAACAAACAAACAGCTGCTTCTAGTACTCTCACACTAATTGTCTTCCTCTCCCCTTCTCTCATTTAGTGTCAAACGTATTTTCTTCTAAAATGTAACAGTTACTGCCTACACTGGAGCTGTTGGCTGCAGGCTCCGCAGCCTTGCTCCAAATCAAACACAGAAATAGATTTCCTGCCAAGCACTGGGGAAGTTTGAAGACTTCGGTTTTTAAGAATATAATCTTTTTATCAGTGCCCTGAGCCTGCCAAAGGTAATTATGGGCCATGGCGCATTTACATTAATGCATAGGACCTACAGACATTTCAAAAGCTTAATGGAGAAACTCAATAAATGTACATATCAAAAAGTAAATTAATTAAGCTGTCATGTAAAGATATCACTTAATTTCGCAGAGCGGAAGGCACTCTTAATGGGAATGGAATGGATCAGTGAGCATTTCAAAACCCAAAGCTATAATTTAAATTCAGGCTCTCCTCTAGTGTGCAAGTCACAAGACATACTTATTATAGCCTTGGATTGTCAATTGTAATCGGTTTAGCAGAGACAAAGCCGTGTTGTTTTGCTTCCTTGCCCTCCTAGCTGGTTCAATATATGTTGATGTCAGACTATTGACAAGCAAACCAAAGGCTGAAATAAAATCATGTTTGCCTGTGATGAACTGGCAAAAATGCAGTCCAAGGTAAACGTAACGCTGAAGCGTACATATTTATTTATCAAGCAGCAAGGGAAAAATGGTGATGTGAAGCATTCAAACTTCTTTAAATAAACCAGTTGAATATATTTACTGCTGCTCTTGAGGCCTGCTATGTGGCAACATAGACACGAGTAGATAAAAATAAGTAAAAGCACTGTGAAAATGAATAGCATCATTTGTAAGCTGCTGCTCTGAGTTTTCCAGGTGGCAGTAACAATTAAAGTTGTTGCTCTTGACGCTTTTCTGTGGCTAGAGCCATAAGCCTGAGACCTAGGTCCCCAGCAAGCAGACAGTAACGCTTCTTCCAGGCTGTGCAACCCATCAGCTCTTGATTCCGGGGGTGCCTCTGGCATGGTTTGCTGCAGGATTTTATCCGGTAGCAGCAGTTACAAACCAAGCCTATCCTTCCACAGTCATGAGCAACTGTCTCCTCCACGCTGAATAAGCGTTCCAAGAACAGTTCAATTCTTTTTCTGACATTCCTCTTTCTGTATTCTCCCATTTTCTTTCTTGTTAAGTTCATTTTCTGATCTGGAGCACTGAAACTGGTCAGCTCATCGGGTTATAACTGTCGTAGCTGCCTCCTGCCTTCTTCCAGCCCCCGCATTGAGCTTAGCCATGGAGGTGTTTCTCTGAGCCTGAACCTAGAGCCTTCTGCCCAGGATCTCCGTAATTTCTTGTGGAGCGCTCAAGTTTGTGAATCCGACTCTAAACAGCGCTGCCAAACTCAAAACTCATGGTTAGGAAGAGCTGCAGCACATCAGAAGGGGACAACTGCCCCAGGCACACCTCGGAGGGCAGTGGCAAGTGGAGGGCAGCAGGACCAGCCCCTGCGGGCTCCTGCCGCCAGAGCTGCTGCTGCCGTGGTGGGAGCCCGGCTGTTTGCAGGGAGGGAGGACAGCACTGCCTGGGGGGAGAGAGGAGGAGACAGCCGCACGTGTGCCAGCTGCCGAGATGGCATGCCATGGCTCTGATGAGTGGCTTGTCTTCAAACACGAGTTAATTTCTTTCTTTTATAAAAAATACCTCGTATTTGCATTTGTTCTTACATAAGTAATAGGATTTTAAGGAGAATGGGCTACAGTTTTGCTTTAAGTGTAATCTTTTAGTAGTTTGTTCCCCAAGGTAATTATTATACTTAAAAAAAAGCCAAACCAAAAACACCACACATCCAAACGTGCCTCTTAATACTAGTTTTTTTGCTCACACATTACACTATATAGTCAACAGAAGCATCTTTTATAACCTTTCTGTAATACAATAGTTTTTAGCTTGCTATGCTATTCCTCTTTCATGCCCCTTTTCTAAGATGCACATTATTACCCTTGATCACTCTTACGAGAAATTTTTATTTTTGTCACCCTCTTCAGTCTCCTTTGGCTTTGAGCGGGGCTTAAACTCTTTTCTAAGTGACAGGTTACCACTGACCGCTGTCACAAAATATTTCTGTTCCACTTTTAAGGACCGCAGAATCGGACACAGCTTTTAAAGTGTGTTTTGTCCTACTACCAGTAATCTTTCTATGTATTTACATGGCTCCTACTGTCACACTATCCAAATGCTAACAACATTCTTCTTTGAAAGAAGGCAGTGGGGAAGGAGAGCGTTCTTAGCCACTCTGAAGAAGAACAAGTGCTGAGAGATTTAGGTCCTGGTCCGAAACGATATGTAGGCTCCAATCCCTACTGTCACTAATGTCAGTGGCAAGCCAGAAGTCTAACATCTTCCTTTAATTTGGACTTCAGTGACTTCTTCAAGGTATAAGAAAAGTATGGTCCAGTTGAGAACTGAATGTATGTATCTGTATAGATAAATAGCTATCTTATATCACCAGCCAAATACCATAACCACAGGTGTGACCGTTTCTTTCCAATAAAGCCATCACAGTCATCAAAAATGGTCTTTTCCTAAATAGCTTTTCCAGCTTAGCTGTCTGGTTCACGAGCCCTCGCAGCTCCGAAGCTGATGAAATCTACAAACACAGTCATAACTTCTTTTGCTTATGGAAAGGTCTGCCAGTTTTGGCTGGGGCAGAGTTAATTTTCTTCACAGTAGCTAGTATGGGGCTCCGTTTTGGATTTGTGATGGAAACAGCGTTGATAACACAGGGATGTTTCAGTTACTGCTGAGCAGTGCTGACACAGAGTCAAGGCCTTTTCTGCTTCTCACCCCACCAGTGAGTAGGCTGGGGGTGCCCAAGAAGTTGGGAGGGGACACAGCCGGGACAGCTGATCCCAACTGACCACAGGGATATTCCACACCATATGACGTCATGCTCAGCATATAAAGCTGGGGGAAGAAGAAGGAAGCGGGGGATGTTTGGAGTGATGGCGTTTGTCTTCCCAAGTAACCGTTAGGCGTGATGGAGCCCTGCTTTCCTGGAGAGGCCTGAACACCTGCCTGCCGATGGGAAGCAGTGAATGAATTCCTTGTTTTGCTTTGCTTGTGTGCGCAGCTTTTGCTTTACCTGTTAAACTGCCTTTATCTCAACCCACGAGTTTTCTCACTTTTACTCTTCTGATTCTCTCCCCCATCCCACTGGGGGGAGCGAGCGAGCGGCTGCGTGGGGCTTAGTTGCCGGCTGGGGTTAAACCATGACAAAAGGAAAAGACTTGAAGAGTGCTGTAATAGTCAGGAGAATCGGATAGGTCACAGGCATCAGTTAAAGGGATGCTACTTCTAAACTCTGAAAAGAGCTATTATGGTAAAAACGCTACTTTCCCATGTCACTTTGTAAACAATAGGTAAATACACAAAATACAAACTGTAAGCTACTATGAGCAATGGTGACAAAGTAACGCTTTGAATAGTCTTTTAAAAAACACTTTTGAAAGTATTTATTTGAAATATCTAAAAGGTTTAATTGTATTCAGTTTTTATAGTCATAGGAGTCTAATCACTCTTTTACATTAAAAAAAAAGTTAAGGCATTTCTCACATTTCTAAACATCAGCCGAATAAACTACGAACGGTTTCATGCTTCAGGTAAGTATCCACTAAGAGGTATATAATCAAGATTGAACTGTACTTGTGTTTTTAATTCATTAGTGGAACTGTAAGGCCCTCTTCTGGATTATAAATTACTGCATGGGCAAGCAAAGCGCATGGAAATGACAAAGCCAGCCAACACTACAAAAAGAGAAACACCTCAAAGACATTTTCTTCATACTATTGCCAATTTCATTTCCTGGTTTTCACATGTATCCGCCCATCCCAGTTACTCTAAGTTAGTGGCTGAGAGCAACTTCAACTTCTTAGCGGATTCTTAACAGTAAAGCATTTCTTGTGAATATTAGCGTAAGAGGAGTGGACAGTCTAAAGAGCTGTGGAGAGTTTCTCCACAACTTTATATGAAGGTGCCGTGCAGCCAAGTGATGCTTGCTTACGCTTATTAGCGATAGCATCCGCAAACTGAGACACCTGATTCTGCATATCCACCTGTCTACATATGTATGTGACTTTCACAAGCTATGTTTGAAAATTTGGCTTATGCTAGAGGGGGTGTAAAAAACAATGGCCTTATCTCAAATCTTCAAGGACTGTACAATTCCTTATATGCCTTTTGATTAAATACACACACAAGGACTGTGAAGGTCTTACAAATGTAACCTTCCAAGAGATTTACTGGGATTTGCCTAAGGAAACACTTACTATTGAAAAGCAAGATGCTTCTCCACAGACAGAAGGAAAGAAAATATTCTAGAATGTGCTGTACAGAATGGCATCACTTTAATGGATCCATCTGGCTGTAAACAAGTGAACTTGAACCATAAATTTTCCTTTTTCTAAAACCAGCCACTTATTCTTCTGCTTGGTCACGTATGATAACAAGAAATCACATACATGGAAACGCAGGAACAGGTAGTAAGTATCCTGTTAGTAAAAACTCTGTACAGAACACTAGACATAGTTTAATTGGACTGTACATTTTAAAAAAGAAGGACGCTGAAGAAACCTTCACGTATCATTTTTTGGTAAGTTTCTGTCTCCCATCAGCGTAGGGCTAATTACGATGGTCCTTTTTCCGTACTTTTGATTTTGGGGCTGCCAAGAAGAAACAGGAAGGGAGAAAAAACATCAGAAGTGAATTACAGTAATACCAGTGCCAGCATTCTTTTAAATTAGGTTGGGATCAAAATGGATCCATTAGTGTGAAACCTACCGTTGGGATTTTCTTGTCTGTAGAAAGCTTTTAACATTTCCACTGCTTCTTTGGCACGATAGCCAGAAATGCACTGTTCAAATTAGAATGATGTTCATGAGCACATCTAAGAATAACATATTCTATGCTTCACAATAATGCCTTAAGCACAAAATAACTGTAAACAACTGTACTGTCTATTCCACTAATTTAAGATGTACCTTTAACTATTTGGGAGTCAGAAAATCTCCTTTTCAGGTTGAATACCTCATACATTTGAAAAATACTATGTTGAAGCTTAGCAGAGTAAATAATTTCCCTAATGAGGTAAAGTTAGGCAAAACAAACTTTCTTAGTAATTTACGTAAAATTTTTATGCAATCTCCAATTTATTTCTTATTAATGTATTTTCAACTTACTTCACATACTCTTCAAGCACTTGAAAGTGTAAGATAAGATTCCTACCAGACAACATATGTTCACACACCTATTCTTTATTCCTAACAGTCACCTCTCAGACCTTCTTGGTCCTTCCAAAATATTTTTTCCAGGCCATGAACATTAATGACAAAGTGTTTAAATGTCACTAACACTAAATGAATCTCCACCCACACTAGAAAATAATGAATTACACCTATACATCCCACTGCAGTTGCCTACAGAAACAAAGGATTTGTAGCAGCAAGAATCTTCTGCTTTCTTTCTTCTGAATATACAGAAAAATTAAATACCATGTGCCAAAGTTAGCAAATGAACACTCTTCCAGTACTGACTATATGAATTAATTCAGACGTTAGTCTCACAAACACCCTGACAGAAAGATGCTTAATGTGTTTATACTGGACTGCCAAACAGTATCATCTTGCTGACTAAAATTCTTTCTGAGCCTTGAGCGCTTATTTACAATACTGAAATATATTACTTAGTTTTTACATTCATTAAATCATATACGTTAAGTGTGGAAAAGAACTCTGAGAACCCTAATTGGGATCCTTGCATAAGGCAGGATCATCTACAACTGTGTATAATGTAATAAATATAATGCTATAAATACTCTCTATCTATATGTATGTATAGGTATATAGGTATACTAGTACAATGCTGTAAAACGTCTAGATTTATGTGTACTATACTTCCACTGAATGCTTGTCCAGCCTTTCTTAAGTGACAAAGATGCCTCATTCTCCCCAGACACTCTGTTCCAGTCCTTCAGTATCCTTACTGTTCAGGAAGTTCCCTGCTATCTAACTTGTCTCCCCTGCTACGTCTGCAGTCCGTATTTATTTTGGGATTTGAACTATAATATGTAGATCTAAGCTAATGCATTTTACCTCATATATGGATAGACTGGGAGCAAAAATACAATCATTTCCAGTGGCTCAGCTAAAAACCAGTAACTTCGTAAGTTGCTGTTACTTGATCTTTATTGATTATGTGTTTGTACATTCTGCAGTTTAAGATAATTTTTCCCTCATCTGTTCCTGCAGCACACACTTACTATTCTAAGTATTACACATCTTGTAGATATATTTATTCTTTACCTCGTTCCACGACTATAATTCTTTCCTCTTTGATGCATCTTTTCAAATATTTTAAGACTGTCATCAGGCTTTTCCCCAATTTTCTTTAATTTAAGGAGTTAATTTTTTTACATTACTTTCTTGTAAAGTCAATTTTACTTGACTTCTGATCATCTTTCATCTGACTTCTCTTAAACTGATGCATAACATTCTCAAAGCATGGTAACAAAGCTAGGCACAGTACCCTAGCTGAAAAACAAAGGAAAACATTTTATAGCTTACTTCAAATGGTTCTCCTGTGTCTACCATATCATCAGATGAGATGCTCAAAACTGAGCCACAGCCTCCAAATCGCTCATTTCGACAGCCATATACGACCTGTGGAATTTATGTGAATGAGTTAAGGTATTAAGTTAAAGTGAAAAGCTGGCAGGAAGTAAAGTAGCCTGATTTAAGTAGTCATTAAATTTCACTAAGATACGCTTGTACTTTTCAAACTAGATTAGTTTGCACTACAATTCCTCCCTCATAAAAATCAGAACTTACTTCTGAGTAATGTAAGATGCATTGCTGAAGATGCACACCCAGCCTTCCTCAGAACAGGAGAAGCGTGAATCCCAAAGGCAGAGCCATGGTTTACCCATTATTACAACATTCAAAACTGAACACTGAACCGAGATTAGCTCATTTTACATAATAACAGATATCTCTAAAATGTATTTTTACATCCCTAAGAGAAATCGTTGTTTGTCATAATTGCACCATTTCTCTTTCATTCTTGAGTCTCTCGCTATTTACCATGCAGCAAATGGAGGTGGGTGCAGACTCTCAAACCGTAAGATGGTACCCCTGTTGGCTTTGCCTGACAGCGTCAAGCCCTTCTCTGTGGGCTCACTGCTGAAAGAGTAACATTTTGACATATGGTTTCCCAGCATGAATAAGCATGAAAGGATACTCATCAAGCGCACGGCAGCTGCACACATGATACAAGGCTCTACAGTGACATACAATACTGAGTGTGCAAACACTTCTGTATAATCTCTGTTGTGTTGCTTGCACCAGTCAAGGACCTGATCGATTGCCACCATTTCTGCATGTCGAGTAGCCTAGGAGATAAAAATAAACATTTTCTTAAAGTTTGCATTGATTCACAGCTTTAAGCTTCTCACTTGTACAGATACAAATGAAATAAAATGCAGTGTCATAAAATTATTCTTTCAAGTCAAAAGCGCAATGGCCTGACATCTAGTTTATTAATAATGCAATTATTTTCACTTCTGTTAAAGAAATAATGTAATGCTTTCTTGAGAAATCTTTTTAGTACACCTCTTTGCTGGTTCAAGTCGCAGAAGAAATTTCATGCAGCCCAAAATGCAGAAGAAATACTCAAGCCAGGAAAGAATGTATTCAACCTGAATCTCATATGCAGCACACACAAGATCCACAAGTGCAAACCAGTTTTTTCTTCTACCTGTTCCTTGGCAGAGGAGCCTGCTCAGAAGTTCTCCTCCCTCTGTCATGCCAGCGTAGTAAGACAAGACACGATAGCTCTACTTGGGGCTTAAGGGACACACAAAGCCCAGAACAACTGATCTAGCCCACTGTGCTTCCACGAGCAAGAATGCAGGCCGGGTTAATTTCTCTGGAAATACTAAAACTGCTCCTACCTGGTACCTTTTCCTCCCTCTGACAATGTTACTCTGCCTGCACGGAATGAATATGCTATGAATATGCAATAATTTCAGTATGTTTCTGGAACTGCTTGGCCTACTGTGTAGACACAGTGTTTTCAGTTTGCATCAGCTTTAATGCTGCCCGGGAACATGTACATGTACAGTAAGTCCCTCAAGTAATAGGCAGGGATTGCAGCATATGCCTGATTACAAAAAGACAGAAGAATATTGATTTCTCTTTTTTTAATCCAAGATGACTGAATGATGAGTATCTCAGAGGCCACAGCAATAGGTAGGGCACAAAAACCTGATCAGAAAAGCAGCAGCGTTGACTTCAATTGCAGAGACAAAACCAATCAGTAATGTCCCAGTATCGCTGTGGAATGCCTGCAGCAGTGTGTTTTGCCAATCAAATGTCACAGCAAAAATATCACAAAGTGCTAGTTATGAAAGGACTCTCCAGTTACAAAGCCTGATGCTTATTTGAATTAAGGCTGTTAGTATTTTCCTTCTTTTTAATCTATTCTGGAAAAAGGATGTTTTTAGCACAGGCATTAGACTAAGACTTAATCAATCCAAATTATACTTGTACCTCTGCTACATACGTCTTTATGTGACCTTAGATAACTTCTTCTCAATACATGAACTTGGGTTAATATTTTAGCACTATGAAGATCTGTGGTGATAACTGTGAGATGCTCTACAATATAGGGCAAAGGCCTCATGTATAGATAAGTTAGTGGTAAGTTAAAACATTTTTAAACAGTATTAAAAACTCCTACAGAGATCTACGTTGCCTATGCCTACATTAGCAAGTAGTGCAGTGCAAGAGCAGTGTATCTATAGAGCAAAACAGTGCTGAGGACTCGACACCAATTCAGGGGAGTTCACACTGGCCTAGCTCCAGTTTAGTCCCATGGACAGTATATTCCCAGCAACAGCTGGAATGCATTAGGTATGCTCCCTGAGTGCATCTTTTCAGTATAGTCATGAACCCACTTGGAAGAAAAACATGGATCTGAATCAATATGCAGACATGATTCCTCCAGACCTGCTAGTGAAATGTTGCCATGAAAGTTCCCTAGCTGAATAAATGAGATGACACCAGCTGAAGTCTCAGTGCACACACCTTATGGAGACACAAAGCACAATGCCCCGTGGAAAAGCGATGCCTCAGAACTACCACAGCAACCCGTAACTCACAGTGTAAGTTGTGGCTATTCTAATTTTGTGCCCCTCAGATCAGAAGAGACACGAATACCATGTTGGCTTCTGAACATGAATTGAAAGCATATAAGCAACAAGCCTTCATTACCGGAAGAAAACACGCCTCTAACCTATGCCACTGCTTTATACTGAGTACCCTAAGTAGCTTTTAGGCCTCTGCTGATCCTGGAAGTACAAGGTAAGAAAAAAACATGCAGCTGCTGTAAGTTATACTGGCTTCTGCAGTAATAGAAGACAGCTACACAAAAGAGATTACGCTAATATAGAATATTACTAGACTCCAGTGCATCCACATCTTAAGTAATACATACTGGTTTCGTCATCTCACCTCACAAAGACATGGGAACAGCAGGACAAATTCACCACAGGGTAAGAAAGGATTATCCAAGTTACAGAACAGTCTCTGTACAGAGAGTAACTAGACTACGGCTCTTAACTCACCAGATACAGTCTGTAACTGTTTTCCAAGTTAAGATGACTATGGTAGAGGTTTATAAAACTCGAGAAAAACGTGGAAAAGCAAAGAATAAATATCAATTTACTGTTTCTCATAACAAGCGGGCACCCAATGAAATTATCAGGCAGCAGATTTAAAACAAACAAAAGGAAGTACTCTTTCACAAAGCACATAATTAAATTGTGGAACTGATTGCCACAGGATGCTATGGAAGCCAAAAACATAAAGGAGTTCAAAAAAGGTTTACACAAATTCATGGAGGGTATGTGCACAGACAGCTATCAGAAACAGTGATCCAGATACAGTCTTGGACTCTGGGAGACCCTAAGCTATTCACTTTCAGAAATGGAAAGGATATGCAAGGGGAAGGTTTACACTACTCTCTTCCTGTTTCTTGAGCTCTTTCCTCATGCATCTGCTAAAGGTCCTTCTTAAAGACAAGATATGGGGGGCAAAACTGACCTTCTAGGTCTGTCTTAAGATTTTATTTTGTATTGAGCTATGACTAGATAGTCTTTTTTATTGACTTGCTGTGTGTAAAATAACATACAAAAAAGATGATTTTCATTTTGAGTCACTGACTCAATTCATAAGCTTCTATAATCCCCTACCGTTTTTTAACTTGTGTTAAAATATGTGTATGCAATCTTATGTGTTATTTTAAAGCCAAGAAAACAAAAGCAGGTAAGAGTAGCAAGGAAAAAGAGAATTGTTAGAGAATGGCAAACGGTGTTCCAAAGAGAAATTATTTGAAGCTGATGTCAGTGGGGAAAAAGCCTTGACAAAGCCTTAAAATAGCGCCCCAAATTGTGGCAAATGTTTTATAGACAAATAAGGATACCATCACTGTCCTGAAATGCTTACCTTCTAAATCTTAGACAAGAATTAACAAGTGAGAGTAAAGGGTGCCAAAGCTCAAAGTTCTATATTATCTTGTGGCTTCACTAGTAATTGAAGTGTGCAAACAATACTTCGTTTTCAATTATCATGTACCGAACTTGCAAAATTATCTGGGCAAAGACCTGTTGGGTCATTGTAGCACATAAGATTAACAGAGAAGTCTGCGTGTATCAACAAAGGACCCAAGACAGACAGCATTTTAGTGGGAAGCGAACGATTACATCACACATGGGAATAAAGATGTCAAAAAAAAAAAAAAAAAGAGAAAGAGTTCTAGTTGGGAAGGGTCACATATGTTACAAGGAAGAAAATTTTCAGGTTAGTCTGAGGCAAGACTGTGAACAAGCAAGTGTGGGAGCTGCCAGAGGGAACACAGTACTGGCACAAGCTTGCGACTGTATCGCCAGGCTGTTGAAAATCAATGTCTTACACAGACATTTGTTGCACTATTGCCCAATGAATACAAGTAATAACATGCCTAACTATTTTGAAATGCGGATGCCACAACCATGCTCCTAAAAAAAAAAAAAAAGACACAGCTGTATATAACCTCCCTTCTTCCAGAAGAATGTGATGATGATCAATAATTTTGCAAATAACTTCCACAGAGTAAGTGGCAGTATCTCTGACATTAATGTGTTCTCCTATGGACATGCAGGGCAGAAACAAAGTATGCAGCGTGACAGGAGACAGACTGGAAAAAAAAAAAACCCAAAAACAAAAAACAGAGGGCTTTCAGCAACTAAATCTTTTTGCCAAAATGAGCAGAATGAAAGAGGGCATAAAGAGGACACTACCTGCTCCTAACTCCAGTCAGTTAGATCAGAGGATGCAGGGACTTACTTAAGGAGAAGACAGGGAATTTATCTGATACAAAGCCTAGTGGCAAGTTGATTCATAAGCAAGGGCAAAATTATAGGGAAGGACTGCAGATCTAACTGAATAAATGATCATTTTTTAAAAGTGGAAAGAAAGTTTGTAAGGAGTGAAAAAAGCCAATAGCAAAGGCTGAAGGAAGAATCGCCAAATGTCAACCTTGCAAAACAAATTACTTAAGAAGTAAAAATGTCTTGAGACAAAACATGTGGAAAAGGAGTTAGAACTACTATAGTGACCTTGAGAAGACGCTCAAATATAATTGTAGTACTACTCCAAAACAAAATTAATATTTTGCCTTTTCAATAAAAATGGCACAGGGAATGTGGTCAAAAGGCAGAATAAGAGTATGGAAGCAGAGATTACAGCGTACGGGATACAGAATTACGACATTAAAATGATGAAATTGCCTAGGGCATGGAAGAGGGATGAGGGGCAAAAACCCAAGTTGATAGATCATCTCCATCAGAAAAATACTGAAGAACTCGTGCACGAGGCTGCCAATCCCATAGCAATGCTTCCGATATATCAAGGGAGAGCATCACGTGACTGAAACCTGTCAGAGCAAACAGACTCACTGTAATGAAAAATCGGAAGGACATACAATCCCGACATTTACAGATCCAGGATAGTCTCAACAGCAAAACAGGCAACATAACAAACTTTGAAGGTAATATTATAACGGCTAGTCTATAAAAGGGAAATGAAATAAAATACAATGTGTATTTACATAAGATAGCCAATACTAAATTAACCTAGTAACTTTCCTTGACAAATGTTTTTTCTAAGCAAGAGAAATACCAATCTCATCTCTCGGAACTTCTGCAAAGCACCCGGCACAGTCCAACATGCAAAATTATCGTCAGTCTGGGGAAAACATCGTAGCACAAGAGATGTAAGGTAAGCAAGCAAAGAAGAGAAGTTGCAGTGAAAGGGGAAATATTCATCCAGAGGACACTAATTAGCAAAGATGCTCGAAGATGATTTTGCTTACATGTTTTCAGTTGTGACATTGGCATTAACTGGAGAAACACCTACAGAAAATAGCTAACGATGTGATGAACGACATCATCAGAAGAGACAGGGTCAGAGTATCACTCAAGAAGTGGATGGCCTTATAGATGGGAGTAAAAAACCTAAAACAACAAACGAAGAATAACAAAACAGCATTAAAGACCAAGGCAGCTCCAGAAAAGATGGGTGGACTTATTTCCAGGAAGAGTGGGAAGTATTATTGTTACCAAACAAGGCACAAGAGACAGTCCATCTGGAATAAAGCATACAGTTCTAGCTGAGTGAATTCAAGAAAGATGAATCAAAGCTGGAATGGATGTACACAAGAATTATTAGAATGAGCACAGAAAGAAAGCCTATCTTCTGAGAGGAGATTAAACAGCTGGCTTGGGGAAAACAGGGAAAAACAAAAGCCAAGAGGGAATATGACTTTAAATACCTCCAAGCTGTGTAAAACAAAGGATGATGCTGGCACAAGAACAGAGAGATATAAACTGACCATAAAAAGTTTAAAACTGGAAATCAGATGTTTTCTAGCCATCTGAGGAATGATGTTCTAGAAAAGTCCTCCAATGTGAGGTGGGACGAGAAATTAGCTTCAAAATGGACCTTGACAAATTTATGATGTCTGCTGGAACTGCCTCAATGGTTCAAGAGGGTTTTTTTTTTCCCCCAGGATTGTTCCTAAATAATGCCAGAAATCGTTAGGAGAAAACTGAAAACAATTTCCTGCATTCACATTTCCCAGCAAGTGCCTCTTTCAAGCTCACATTTTCTTTTAGACTATACAGAGCAATTAAGCATCTGATACAAAATTTAGAAGCACTGAGTACGCAGCATTTCCCATCATTATAATACAAGCATTTATGAAAATTAAGCCACAAAAGAATTGAAACTTGAGCTAAACAGAAATTGAAAAAAGGATTGGCTTTCAAAGATATTAACAGTTTACTGTTTCCAAAATGCAGACGAGTTTTTGAAATCAGGCTGCTTGGATTTAAGCACATACCTTCAGGCAACCCTGATGTTAATACAAAAAAGTCCGAAAGCTTTCCTAATATTTTTGAGTTGATTCTGATTTTGTTATTAATTTTGTCAGTTATGTTCTGCCCGTGTGATTTTTACACGGCATTAATACCTCTGGCACAGTTTTCCCAAGAAGTGCCTGCTTCCCCACAGCGTTTACACTGATTTAACTTGAGATACCTAGCGTCTCTGTCATCTGACTTTCTTAAATTGTATTAGAATTATTTTAATATGTTACGGATCGTTCTGTAGCACAAGTTAGTATAATAATTTGTTTTTACTGTTACGTTTTTGAGCTTAAAAGACTGCTTTTCACCTTTCATTATATTTTCAGTTTTGAGACATCTAATGTAAGTTACAGCCAGATCCTGCAATCAGATCCATTTATACAAAACTTCCAGTTGCACAAAATCCCTGTTGGCTTTAATGGGCCTCTCAGCATGTATAAGATCTAATTTGATGGCTAAAATTGCAAGCACCACATCTAAAATTTACAGGCAATATTTTTTAGAAAGAACAACTTTGTCAGAGGAACAATTTTTGTAAACTAAACATGAGATTTTGTTAGCCTACACATTCTGTAACTCTACGCAACTTCCCAACTCCTTGTCTTACTCCTGCCCCTTCCAAAGTGAGCCTGTTATTTATTTATTCCTTTATGTGTACAGCAGTTTTCCTAGAAAAGCAACGGAGCTGGATTTCCAACTTGTATTTCGTAGCTTTTCAGATAACCTTACCACACAACATGAGAATGCCGGTTTGCTAACAACGTAAACCGTTTCTGGAGCGTCTGTGGAAAGCATTTCAACAGAAAGGCTGCACGGGTCACTCTT